TGTTCGAAAGAAGCGAAAGATCTAGAAACTTTGCAGTTTTAAACATGGCCTCTGTTGCAAAGATATCATTGATTGACATAGGTACCCACTTCATCACTAAGTACTTTCCAGTAACTGCCTTTTTGAGGTACGTGGTGGCAAATCTCCTCTCCTTTTTGGGAGACAACACCCTTTCAGCGTGTACCGTATCGCTAGGTATGTAGTCCACTGTTGAGATGGCTTGCACTCCTTTATTATTATAGCCTAGAGCTGCTAATCTACTAAGTGCGAATTAGTAAATTTTATAAACGTCTGGGGTTAGAACCTATGTATTTGTATATCATCTTTGTCACTGTTAAAACGTGAAAGATTGTCGAGTAACTTTTTCGCGGCGAGTCGATATTCTGGTGCTCACTTTCTCGTGGGTTTCTGGACCGACCTACCAGAGACTTTTACTGCCCTTAGAACAGGCCTTTCCTGCCCTGCCATACCGAGGCTCACGCTGACGCTCGTCGCTAAAGCAACAGCAGTCGTAGCGCGGGCTCATGTGCTAGCTGAGATCCGCAGTTAACTTCATAGCATTTTTCCGAATACCGTTTTAGCGGCAGGACGCTAACGTGGATGTCGTTTACATATGTCGCATTTGTTCCACACATCAGTCAGTTCTTCATTCGAGCTCGCGCTGGCAGCCTGTTACTGTACTCATAAAACGGTGACACGTTTGGAAGTGTTTCATTCAACAAAGGAAATCTAGTATATCAGTTCGCCACAAGACAGTCATTGCTGATATTTTTTGTATGAGAAACAGATAATCAGCTAATGACACAGTAACCAGTCGACGTAGCCTCTATACTTTCAAGTCGTAGTTTAATGTCGGTATAGTGGTCAATTAACGATTATGCTCGACTCTGACGAGCCACAGGCAAAACTGTTTGCCTGCTGTTGATTCCAAGAGTAGAAATTTTATCATTGCGCGTTTGCTTATTCTTCTTACCTTTTTCCTTGCTTCCGTTGTTTAGCAAAGGAAGACAAATCGTATACGAAGAGGCTGGAAAGCCCAAGTTAACTTTATTTTATACGCAATTAATTTCAGTAAGTGAAAAAAGACAAACGAATAAAAAATGACTTTACCATACACTTCCTTCTCATCCCTGAACAGTCGCGATGATAGCTGAAAAAAGTATCAATAAACGCATTTCAGCGGAGGGGTCGAAGTTACTTGAGTGAATTGCTTCTGTGCATGTGAATGCATTCCACATAGTGGTTGTGTGGCCGTGACATCAAAATGGAATTAGTGGATCTTTGCGAAGGAGCCGAACTCTTGTTTTAGGACAGCTGTCGACACGCAGGACTTTGTTGCAGTGCAGAAGTGAGCTTTGATTGATACGCTGCCTGACAGGAGTGTTACGGTAGCTGTTGTATCGTTTATGATGAAGTTCGAGAGACCAAATATATCGCACTTCAGGACGCGTAGCACGGTACATATATTAGGATAGTTTTATAACGATAAGCATTAACATCGTGGTTGCTTATATGCACCTAATAACAAGGCTCAACTTGAGGCTCTGTCGTTCCGGGAAATGTTTGCTACGTAAAAAGCAATACGTGTTCACGTGCTCACTAGGTACACATACGTACATTACTTAACATTAAAAAAGGACTAAAGTCGTCGATCCTAAATCAAAATATGGATCCTCTGTTTAAACTATGGTGTTTTGTTAAACGTTTCACAACTGTAACTTGTTTACCGCTTGATTAATGTAATCTGTGTAATTTCGTTGAGCATCAGGAAGCAAAACATTTTTTCTAGATAGAAAAGATAATATTTATTTGGTATCAAAGCAATTGGCAAAACAGCCGAAGTTTCCATTAAAATCTCTAGACTAGAATAACGGACGTAGCACAGCGTTTACTGATTAAGCAGAATTCTTAATAAATAATGAAAATGTACCAGATTTCTCGAAGACATTTCGTAATTACTGTTATAGTTTTATTTAAGGAGTTGCATTTATCATACTAGAAATAGACATTGTAGAATTAACATGCATAAGCTGTAACTCTCTTCTCACCTTTTTTGCACCAAGTTGGAGTAATTTTCCAGGAACTACCCATTTCTGCTGCGGCTGTTGTAAGCCAAAAAACTTTTGCATGCGTATGTACTACGATAAGATTAATAATCTTATCGAAATGAGTATTAGGGTAATTATGGAAGAGTAAGTGATGTAATTTTCTGAGAAAGAGTATCTTGTGCTAGTAGCCTATATATACAGCACTAAGTACACCGCAACTCAAAGGTAATTACCTTTTGAGTTGCGGTGCATCAGACTCGGATAATATGGTGCTTCATTGTCGTCTTTATATACTTTCAAACTTTGGACGACGCACGGGTTAGCACAAAATTAAGCTATACCCATAATCATTGTGTAAGTATTTGATCAAACAGGGTCTGATTTCTACAAATAAAACATAGTAAAATCTGCGCAGTACAACTGCTGTTTTCAAGCAAATTGTCAATACAGAGTGTGGTTATTGCTATGTATCCGACAGTCTAGAAATCACTAGAAAACGATGTAAGCGACTAACGCTATATATGTATGTTTATACGTGTTTATTCGCATTCGTTTGCTTTTTAAAAAAATTCTATCGTATGAACTAGAATTTTGACTAACTAGAAATTTGCATGCACGATAGAAAAGATTGCCACGTACAAATTGCATGAAATTCTGTGTAGGTACACGTAGACCCGGGGAAAGATCCCATTGTTCAAGATCTAATCCTACGTGCTGCAAAAGTGTAGCTATGTTACGCCAGTTTGATTTTTCCGTTTTTTTCGCGTTTTATTAGTCATAGTTACCATTTACTCAGAATTGATCTCCGCCATCTTTCTCTCCTAGGTGCGCAAAGAAAGTCTTAGGTACGCATTCCCATACCATCGCTCATAGCGCTCTGTCCGTAATGTACACTTCAAACGTTCGGCCGTTCATGGGGAAACATCACCCCCAGATCTTTAAAGTATCCGTGATAGCTTAGTGCTAATAAATTTACGTGCTAATCGTTGTGGTCTAATTTTAAACCTTGGCATGAGTTAGCCATCCAATGAAATGCCTAACGGCGGTTGGAGGTTGAACTCAAAACAGAGCCATACAGGTATTTGGAAGTTATTTACGTACTTTAAGGCAGTTCTGCCTATGCAACGCGTTGTGGCTTCTAACGTGTTCAAACTGACCAACTACTTAGACTCGGCTCCAAATTTAAAATTGGGAGTTTCACCTCATGCCAGTTGATTAGACATAAGGTTTTAACTAAGTTGCTTCGTCACATTTACCGAGTTTTTGGTGTAATATCGTTCTTCCTCGTTCCACCCTTACGTAACGCAACGTTCGATGCGAAATCCATGCTGTTCAGCCGGATTGCATAAACAATCTTCCCTGAATTCCTCCTTAAGTGTGACGCTCAGTAAGGCTTTATTCCACTTTGCTGGTTAACGTCCATGTCATAAAGAGACATTCAATAGACTTATCCAGCAATAAACTTTGTTCATTGCGAACCAAGTTTAATCCAGCTACCTTGTTTGATTGGAATTGTTCCAATGAGCGCAGTAGCTCAAACACGAAGAAGTTTTTCTGCTTGTCAGGTATGTTCTGTCCATACAATACGATTGCGCTTTCCTAAACACGAATAAACTATTCTTGCTATATGTGCTAACTGTTGTGCTGAGCGACGCTTCGAAAATTATTAACCGTCATTCGATCTCTGTATCTTCACTTGATGATGATGACCTAATGACAGGAAAAAGAAGTATGAACGGCAGCTGCATATTAGGGCAGACGACGGAGTTCATGCAGCATGGTTTTTCGTAACTTTTTATCTCCCATCTATCACATATCAATTGATAGTTATGCAAGGGGTACTCGTTTTTATAAATACACGAACAACATAGAAAACTTCCAAACCAGATCGGCGGAGATAAAGAAAGCAAGCGATAGGATATAGTATTGTAGCGCTTTCCTGCTATGGTAACGATGAAAAAAAAGACGGGGGAACCCTTAAGTGTTGCGATGAACGGCTAGAACATTAATAAGAGTTAGACAGAGCAACGATATATGTAGTTGCAGGAACTCTGGTATTTCGATACAGGTTCACAGTTCAAGAGTTGTCGCAGCACGTGACAAAATGATCGGCCATAGAGGGGTGGTTGCGTGGATAATATCAGTTAGTAGTTATACTAATGTTATCGTTATTAATACAATTATTGCGTACTTGAATGCGCTTCCTGCCGCAGCTCTAATGCGGCATTTGGTGCTACGTGCATCTCGGCCCCACAGGCAATAGCCAAGAACTAATGTACATTATTTCCTTAGTCAGGGAAAACGGTCTCGTGTAGCTTACCGAAAGAACAAGCTGTAGACCGACGACCCTTCAGCGACCTATCATTATATACCTACGAGTATATGTGAGTGCGTACGCATGGCTAATTAAACTCAGAAAAGAAGGCCCATACTTGCTTCGTGGATGAGTCGTACACTGGTTACTCATTCCTATAGCTACAGTAATGCTAAAATCATACTGCATAACAGGCAATACATGAAACAAGTTGGAAACACCGATAGGAACTAAATGTACAAATATGAAATCTGCCAGCAAAAATACAAATTTAGGGCATACCAATTTGAAAGTGAGATTTTTCATAGAGAAACAGCCACAATGCCCTCATATGTGCTTATTCCTTTATTAATATCAACGAATATGTTTTTATAGAGGTTTGAGGACCTCTCCGAGACGATTGATGAGGGTACTGTGGGCGTCATGTCTCTTCTATAAATGTTAATACACGCAATATGTTCATCTAACAATTTCTAAAATGGTTCCTGCCACCAACGCATGCGAACTGCAGATGTCCCGTTAGTTGGTCTAGGGGCACGATGAAAGACTCGCGGTGCAATTACCTCATGGGAGAAAATAAGTGATTATTTGCAAGTATTTCGTGGTAAGTGTTTCTTTTCTGACCTGCGGTATTCCAGACGTCAATTTACAAACTAATGCCACTACGGCTGTCATCGAAATGTTGGGGAGTCATCAACAATATTTCACTACCAAGCCCGTTTCGAGCGCCGGTGATTAGCGCTTTTTCATGGTACACTGGATGTAATATCAGCGAGGCAGCTGTTGACGATCCGCGAATGTACCCGAATCTCGGCGAGTTTTTCCGGAGGACCCTCAAGCCTGGCCTGAGGCCCATCGCACCAGGAGATTGTGTTGTAAGTAAGGAATTAAATCAAGCATTTTTGCCGGAAAACGTATTGTGCCATCTGCTTATAATACAGGAAGTGCTAATGCATTTTTCCATGTTTGACGTTCACAGCAAAGTATATTAATTTGCTTTTTGTTCGTGGTTTTCTACTGCAATTCTTAACGTTATTACCTAGAAATAACAAAAGCTCATTTTTTCGTCGATTCCATCTCACGAACGAATGAATTGTATTTCACAATGCGTTAAATATATTCCTTAAACTGACTGAGCAACGAAAATATACCTACCAATTATATCTCCAGGAATTTACCCAGGTCCACATTTTATATGCAATCAGATCTTTTCGCAGCGTCCCAGCGGAACACTCGAAGTGTACATTTTAGAAATATTCATTTTTTGTACTAAATTGCCCCATCCACTTCGGCTCGTAATATTATATCCTACTGCCATATGACGCCTTTCAACTCAATTTATTTACAGGTTTATAACACAATTCATCGAGAAATTGATAACCGTTGATGTCACGGGCTTCGCCTAAAATCCTTTTTTGTCATCTCGTGCAATCTCTGCTTGAAATAAGATCTAATGGCTATGAGAGAGGGCCGCAAAGAACTCTATAGCTTACAACGATATTATTAGTGACGTCCTTGTTTGCTACTGGAACCGCCGGAATTGCATTGCGCTGAGTGTATCATTGCTGCTATCAACTATTTCTTTAAATGGAGGCAATATTTACTATAAGTGTAAACATAGCTGGTAGCTTACTCTTTCTTTCTTAATGGATACATACGTCTTTTAAAATAATTTATAAAAGAGAACGCATGAACCTGTACAAACAACGCTTTACATAGGTTATCCTTTGCGTTTATTTCATTTCTATCCTTTATATACAGATAACAGCAGAAGCGTAGTTTTTTCAAGATTGGTAAAAATAGTTTTTCTATAGAGGGTGCAGTGTTTGGAAACCAATCACTGGGTTTATTTGTCGTCCTCCACTTCTACCCTCGAGGGTGGTACTTCCAGTTCTTGCGGTTTGGGTGCGTTGAGCTTTGACCAGTCCTCGTAAAGCGTTAGCAGACGATCGTCGCTATTTGAACAGAATTTACGAATATCCTCAAGGACAGTTCTGAAAATGAGACATTATAAACAGATTGTAATAAATTGACATAAATGCCATGCCCATCTTTCTCAATACATTAGTTGGAATCATGAATTTCTAAAATCGTGCAAGTGGTGATCTGTATATTTAAATCGGCCTACCTCATGAAGTGTTCATCGATGGAGGCAGTACTTTTCCACCGTTTCGTGATCATAAAGTTGTAGCTCCAAAGGAAGCCTGTCCTGCTTTGACACTCGTTAGTCGATTGGTTGCCTGTGGTGGCCGAGTTGTTCAAAATCTTTGGCAATTCTTCTGATTGTGATTCAGGCTCTGGTGAAAATTTAGTTTTGCCTAGTGGCTCACGTAATCCCGTGTCGTAGGGCTCCTCAGCGTTATCCTCACTTGGAACGAGAAACATTCCACCCGTGCAATGAACGAAAGTCTCGTAACTTGACACAAGCTTCCCCGCCTCCTTTTCGGCACCGATGTAGAGATCTTGGTGTGGAATGAAACCGAAACAGCGCAAAATGTACCCCTTGAAGCTCTGCAGCTGGGAGTACGTGAGCGGGTCGGGCAATTGGTCTACAGCAAGAGGAACAAATATTGGCCCGCGAAGAGGATCTGAATTGGCGGATCCTGGTAGAGCGTACGGTTCACAAGGAATAGGAACTAATTGAAGTCCGAATGATGTTGCTTTCCGTGCCCAGTTTAAAACCATGTCTGAGAGAAAATTATGAGGAGCATGTTAGAATTTGTGAATGTAATTCTATTATTCACTATCCCCCAGGTTCCCAATATACATGAAGTTAGTCCAGCGAGTATGACAGGTACAAGATTTAAAAGGGATGATTGCCAGTTACAGTAGTCGTATTTTTAAAAATATTTACCTGCAACAATATTGCCTGTAGCTACAACCCATTCAACGTCAAGCTCAAACGCGGTGCCAGGCTGAAAAACTGAGTGATACTGCGCTTGGCCCCATTCGGGCCGATCTGATCTGCCTGCGTCGATGTTTACATAGGCTCGTTTGAAGTACAACCTGAAACGCATCATAAAATATAAGAGTAAAAAAACAATTGGTTAGGAGCGCCCACATGAAAAAACACATTCAGAACTCGCATTTTGTCGGCAGCAATTTTTAGAGTAGTAAATGTTTTGTATTCTAGGTACCTCGAATTGTTGGCACTGGGGCTGACTTTCATTTGCGCCTGTTGTGACGCCGGCAATTGTTTAGCTACTTCCTTTTGGCTTTGGGAGATGATTCCAACCTCAACCCATTCCTCTGCTAAGTCTGAATACTCGTCGGGTTCTCCTATTTCCCGAAGGAAGTAGAGATGCGACCCAACTACGAAGTCTTGTTCCCCGCGGATGTGTGCCACAAATCCATCACGCATAAGACGTTGCATTATAGCAATTGCCTCGTCGTCTTCGTGCATGTCGCTTATCTGACTACGAAGCCAACTAATCGCATCAACTCCTAGGAAAGCATGAGAGGGAAAATTCACGGCTCTGCAAGGCAAACCATAAAAATACATTTTTTAACCGATGCACTCAACAGCAAATTGATTGTAGGCTTTGCATAATCTATTTTAAACTTTCTGTATTACTACTGCTTCATTAGAAAAAAACTGTATGATATGTGCAGTGTCTGAACCGAGGTGCTTTCTGAACGTCAAATATGTTGGAGCACCTAATATAGTGAAGGCTCTTCCATAGTTTAGAACATCCAGTGTCAATTGCATGAAATTTTGCTCGTAAATATATACTTACCGTTCTTTATCCTTCGGTATAAAGTCCATAGACTGGCGCATTGCGGCGACAATTTCCTCTGACGAATTAATCATAGAGAGAACTGGGGGAGGATTGACTAAGAATGCATCGTCCGAGGCTGCACCTCCAGCTGACACGGTGGCGTTATCCTCGAGAGATGTTGACGAAGTCGATTTTTCACTATCGTCATGTTGCAAAGTTGCCCTGGAAATTGAAAAGGAAAATTATTAGTTCTGACATCACAACTGCGTTTGGTGATTCAGTTGTTTTAAAGTTGTGTCTGTTTAACGAATCGCAACTGAGTCTTACCGGGGTTTTCGCGGCTTTTCATTAACCGACTCACACCGTTCGCGCACGGCGCCGAGACTCTGTTGATGACCGTGTGACACCGGTGAATGCTATCATAGCAATAAAGTAAATAGAACAGCCTACGTTAGTATGTCGAGCTGTGTCTGCAAGAATGTAAACAAGATAACTGTGTTAATACAATAATGGATTTACCAAATTCGTCAATAATAATAGATTCTTGCTCGTGTCATGATTGTCTTGTTTGAGCATTTTATAAAGTAAATTATTAATCCAGTAAGATTATATATTCCTAATGGGGCGATCATTATATACAACAAAATCATCAAACTACAAGTTTTAATTCCCAGTACTCACCGAAAATTGTAACTGCGAATAGACCTATAACGACATTATTAGTTGCTTTGAGAACACAGTGATGCGTTACAATACATTTTCGAGCAATACACATAGATCGTTGAACAGTAATACAAAACAATAAGAAATTCTCTCCTTAAAGTGTAAAGAAGTTGTAAAACCGCTTTTACGGTCATGATACTAACCTGCCCAAAGCTGCTTCTTCGTATGTTTGACTTGGAAGACGGTGTCAAATGGCTTTTGAAGTTTGCCACCTGACTACTAATAGGCTTAATTTTGTTGAGAATTTCAAAGAATTTGAGTACACCTTCACGTTGACTTCGCTCGTCAGGAAATACCCCGTGTCCATCAATCGGGTAGATGTTAACGAGCCCATTCTCCTGGATGCTACGAATAGCGTCAGGTGATCCTGGTAATAATAACATTCGAAACCGCCAAAACTTGTTGGTCTTATGAAGGAAATACTCTCGTTCGCCGCAAATGTAGTGATCCAGATAGTTCCAATTGAATGTCTCTAGTCTTTCGGCATGAAATATGCATTTTGCTAGATGCGTATAACCTTCGTTTCCTGGCGAGGTGAACTGATATCTGTACGGAATCGAATTAAGCTCCTGGCTAGCCTGACGAGGCTTATATTGTTTCACAGCAATCTCATTCGCAGAGCCAAGTTGCACCGAATGGAATATCGCTGCAATACTCATAAGGCATTCGTCCGGCTCCAGCTTGTCGCCACCTCCATCCTTTCTGCCCCGCTGATCGGGAAAACTGCTTAGCGGTGCGCGTGAGTTCTTATACGGATGGTTAGGTGGCAGGGTAACAATTTGGAAGCCCTGTTGGAGTCGTTGACACACGAGCTCCTGATAAACCTGCACGTCCCGGTTTAGATTCGAAGCCGCACTCGCATGTGGTATATCTTCTGGTAGCAAGCAATAGTCGGATAGCGTATAGTCTGCAACCAGTGTGTGTGGATCCGGAAAATAGTCTGTAGTGAGCGGTAAGCACGCAGGAATTACAAGTGACTTCCAGTCCACACCGGTCGTGAGAGCAGGCGTCCACTGTTGTTCTCCGGTAGGACCCCAGCCTGCTAGACCCGTACGATCCAGTCCTCCAGGTCCTGAATCTACCACGTCAACGCCTCCTCCCACAAGAGGAATTGGCCGGACATTTGTACGTGTAGCTTCAGTTAACGTTTTTGACGTTAAATTGCTTTGATAATGGTGCTGTTGTACGAAAGAGCCCGATGGACCGATGGGAAAGGCGTGAGTCCAGCGGCGTCGGTTCGATGTCAATTTCATGCTCACACCAGACAGATTGAACGGATTAACGAGTGCTTTGAGTTTGTCCAGCTCCTGGCCAGCGGATTTTTGTGGCCGCTGTAAACCCTTAAGGTACTCCACCGAACTATCTACGGAGCCAACAACCATGCGGTTGGTTGATGAAATACTATCCAGCGTATCAGCTCCACGCGGTGACCCTAAAACAATAACCAAAGCTTAGTAAAGCTTGGAGCAGGCGAGTGCTTGGCAATGCTTTAGTTAAGGATTTACAATACCCCACGAAGACCCAAGAACTTCTGAATTTGTTTTCCATATTTCAATAAAATTGTACAGTTTTCTACCTAATATATGTACAGTATTTTCACAACACAAGATGTGCAAGATAAGTTTAAAAACTCACCTGTTATACCAGTTGAGTATGTTGGGTAGTGTGAAGTGAACGAAGGTCCTCCAAGTGGTTCTGAGATGTGACGGCCCGCAGTATTGATAGCTGAAGCGCCAGCAGAAGGTGACGACGCTGAGGAAAGCGAAGCTTCACGCTCTCGTTCGCGCGGGTACTGAACCTGATTGTGAAAGACAAACAAAACTCCATTGAATAGGTGCGTGCTCCAGGACTTAATGCAAAACTGAACAACTATAACTCATTTGGCTGCAGGCTTGACGGCGAAATAACGCAACGATATAGTTATATCTACCTGACTCTTGCGGCGTACCGGCGCTTGTTCCTGCTTTTCACGGGCTCGCCTTTGCGCCAAAACCACCGGTTCCTTGAGTATGTGCATATCATAGCCTTCGTAATCGCTATGACCTATGAAGTGCGAGACAAACGAAAGACGCCATTATTTTGTCCTTTATCGTGTTTTTATTTCAAATTGATATTTGATTGAAATATTTGGTTCGAGTGTGGGTAGTTGTTACGTACCAGTTGTATGGGAATCGTTTGGATGAAGTAGTGCTTCATCAACGCCGTCGTATGTTGGCGTCATAAGACGTTTGTTACTTCGTGCAGTAGGTGGTCCAGTGGGACGCCCACTACTACTCCCTCGGATATTAGGCGAAGGTGACCCATCCGGAGTTGGCAACTTGATTCGGGGCACGAACGCCGAATACGATATGACCTTGCTCGATGTGTAGAATGATAAATTAATCCAATGAGGGATGCTGTACTCGTCACCACCGGACTCCCCGGTATCTGAAAGACTACCTAGTAATAATAATCAAGGACAAAAAATCATATTAAATTGACACACTTAGAGGGGACAAAGATTAGCTTACGGTGATGTTTTTTTTTAATAAAATGTGAAGACACTTTTTCCTTTTCATAAAGATAACTAGAGGCAAAGTGCGTCGACAGTGTGGTTGTTTGTGAATCTTTCTTTTACAACAAAGATAAAAATCAAGTTGTTCTCCCAAGTTTACCCTATCGGTTTTACGGGTAAATACAACAAGAACAGAGAAGGCGTCGAAATAGTTCAATTTACCATACACTTTGTAGAGTGGAACGACATGAAGTGGCTGTTCGCCTAGACATACGAGATCTGACGCTATTCCATTGTCGATAATACGCTGCTTTGTTAATTCCATGAGATCGCGTTCAACTTCAAACACACCAACGCCAGGCGTCACCACGACGCTCAGCTGTCCGGTGCGGTCGAACGACCGTTCGGTGAAGTGCTTTTCAAAGACGTTCATTGATAAGTTTAGGGCTGGAAGAAAGTTACCTAATGCTGCACAGCTATTATAGGCCGTTGGCATACCAGGAACGTTACTATGTTTATGTACCACCGCCCGTTGATAGTCAGAGAAATAAATTTTTAGATGACGCAAGGTGGCTGTCCAATCGTCAAGTCGCTCATTTTGCACAGCGACCCGATAGACATCTTCGTAGAAACGTCCACGAACGTCCTGTTGGATACAGTGTCGCACCTGTTCAGGAAACTGGTCCCATGAGTCAGCATTATAGAATGTACGTGAAAAGAGGACGATAGTAACGTCGTGATTACAACTGAAATCCTTCCACTTCCGTGTCAAATCCAATAAAAATCCATCGAGAGCCTTCTCAAAGTAAAGATCTCCATGGATATCAAACTGCCACATTTCGGCTGACATTTGAATGAAAATAACTACCATACCAGAGGCTGTTCGAAACACAACCTTGGTATCCTTTGTGACAAGGCCCGACGACAATCGAACTCCTTTAGCCCACATCTCAAAGACATCACAGCGAGTTGAGTTGTACTTAATCTCTTTTTTAAGGTAGACCCCGGTGTCAACCATAGATTGTGCCAAGCGCCACATGTCACTACGGGTTAAATATTGATCTTTGAAAACAAGCTCAACGCTATCCAAGGCTACGTCCAAGTGTTTTACAGCGCAGACATTTACATCCGTGTATTGTCGAAGCTGAATCACATTCATGGCTGTCTGATCTATCCAAATATTGTTACGTTGCTCCTCGCGAAAGCCAAGTAACTTGACGACGAGTTTGGCGGAGCTGGAGCCCGCATCACTCGGGGCAACTTCGAGCATCGTTCCCTTAATTACACCGGGCAAATCTTTAGCGTTCACGTATGCTCCACCTTCGCCCTTGGCGATCTGCGTCACCCGAAGTTTGGTTACAACGCTCATTGCGAATTCCTGTTCGAAATAATAATTTCACCAATTAATTAGACTGTATAAATGTCAATATGAACAAATAACTAACACAATAATTCTGTGAAGTTAGCTATTACCCCTCACTTAACATACCAGTATATTACAATTCGCTAATAATTTCCTGTTCAGCAGCTCAGTTAAAACAATCAACTTAGACATATTAAAAATGATTTAGTCGCCTTAACTCATACTCAAATTTAGATATTTAACTGAACGCATAATCAATGATTTAGTGGGCAGTTAATAGGAACAATACTTACTCAATAGCTTCTTGTGTAACTTCACTGTCGTAAAGGGCCACGTCCGTGGGAGTTTAATGGATTCGTTTTTGTGCGCCTTGCGACACAACCCAGTGGGCTTAGAGCTTTCATGTAATATTTCCTCGTTATCCAGTTGTTCTATAGCTGACACTGTCGTTCTCGTGGCAGCTTTGGTGGTTTCGTAGACCACTAAAGCTGTACGAGCGTTTTTTACTAACCTCTAGGATCGCCTACTTTTTACTTTATGTTGGCGCATCTGAATCTGTACAAGCATAGTTCACCCACAGTCACACATTAACAACTGAGATAGGCTTCGCAACATCTCGTATCATCACATCAATTATAGAGTGTATCTGGATTGTATTGGTGCATTTTGTCAAAAACGGGGCCACTTCCCGCTCAACAATGACAACAAATACAATGCATCTATATAGTTCTAATAGCAACAAAACGCTCGTTAATGTATTGGTCACATTTCTTTGAACGTTCAGCCTGTAGGCAAACATAAAGCACTTAATGAAAACAAATTCAGTTGTCTAGCTGCTTTTATCGGCTGCGCGATGTAGCTAAAAGCAGCCGGTCACGCTTATCCGGTCGATGTTATCTTTCGCGGCAGAGTTTGTGATAAGGGCAGGCAGTATCCGTGATAATTGCAGTGGTTTTCGTTCGATGCTTCGTGCAAACTGGTAGCCTTTGGCCTACTAGACGGTCCCCCGTTAATCAGCTGACGCTCGCTACCGGCCATCGACGTTAAAGAAAGACACAAGCAGACGACACCATCAGAGGGGAAAGGGTACCTTTAGGAAGCGATCGGCGGGTTCAGGCGGAGAACCCTATGGGTGAGAGCAACGCATCAGACATAAGTTCTTAAATTTAAATTCGTGGGTTCGCGGATGAAAAGCTACATTTTTGATGATAGTGCTTTATATATACTTTTTAATTTTTTTCTTTTATTATTATGCTTTACTCAATAAAATCATTAGGTAAATAATTCACAGAAATGTAAATCGCTTTTTTCATATTGATCTCTGCCTGATTGTGAGTGATAAAGTATGACACAAATAAAATCTCAATTATGGCGTTCTGTGTATCCTAAGTAAAGTGGTTGCGCATTGAATTTATTGATTATGTTAGCGACTGGGTAAAAATTGTTTGGTTGGGAAAAACAACAACAATATATTGTTGTTTTTTTGGTATTGGATCATTGAGTATTTTGGAAGCGCCGGTAAGTATGAATAGCTTCTAGAATACCTTAACTGTTAGTTGGTGATATAGCGCAGAATTTCGAAAGAATTTTAACCCGTTTTTTTTTTTTTATTTTAGGTAAGTCCAGCCGATGGGAAAATTTTGCATTTTGGAGAAGTGCAAGCAGGTTTTGTAGAACAAGTGAAGGGCATTGCGTACCCATTGCAAGCATTTTTAGGACCCCATCCGTGGGGCGACGAAGGCGCGGATGATGTCACAGATGAACATCTTTATCATGAGCAAATGCTTAAACACAAGGTATCACGATGAGCAACATAAACCCAGAATCTATTTCGTTGCGGATTTGTTGATTTACGCTAATATTTTGGTATTCAACATAACACTGGCAAAAATGCAAGCGTTTCCGATATGTAGATTTCTACCCAAAACAAACGAACTTGAGCTAGTACCCTTCAGCAAAGCTGTAGAAAAAGCTTGTTACTGGTGCTTTTGAAACGTGCTCTCTTCTGTTCATAAGATTTTTGGGGACTACTCTTAAAAAAAAAAAAGTTATATCTATTTGCGTAAATGATCATTGGCTATTGCCGCTCTGTTTGGAGTTACAAATGATTTACATAATTTGATTATCCAATTCGTCAAAGGATGGCTCAACTGCGTTGTATCACTGTGTTGTCTACTTGGCGCCGGGAGATTATCACCGATTTCATTCGCCCGCCGACTGGAAAGTCCTACGTCGTCGTCACTTTCCCGGAAAACTATTATCGGTGAAGCCTCGCGTAGCTTCCTGGGTTAAGGTGAACAATTAGCAATTACTTTAATATTGACTTCGATGTTTGTGATAGCGCCATTTATATTGTATTACTCCTTCCTTTAGTCCACTTCCAGTAGCGGTTCCTATTGCTAGACGTAAAGCGTGGCTTCCCTAGTCAGTAAACCCGCTTAATATGAGGAGCCATTTATAGCTAATTAAACAAGTAGTTTTGACTTTTATAGGAGATCTGGAAAGCTACGTTCGGAAGCGTATTCTTGGGGTTTTTTATTCAAGGAATTGTAGCTGTAAAATAGAATACAGTAACTAAGTAATGTTAATCTATTTAACTAAGCTTAAGTTAATTAACCTTAAGAATTAAGATCTTCGGTTTTAAAGCCTACTAACCCGCCAGTTTCAGTTTCCCAATGAAGCCTGCTCCCCGTACTGTATAAGCCTACGAGTTTTCGGCATTTTTTTTATTTCCTGCAGGGACTGTTCAACATCAACGAACGGGTAGTCTACTCAGGAGAATGGAAGTATGGTTTTTTCAGTATGACTGCCGTAGGGGCAACAAATGTCGGAAGTATAAAATGCTCATTTGATCCTGTAAGTGTCAACTTGAATCGCTAAAACACCTAATAGGGCAAAATACACCTAAAAGGCTGAAAAGTATATTACCATATCATTGACGATCTTCGCTACTCGGTTCATTGCGCATTTTAACAAAAAATACCGTGTTTTTGCTGTACTTTTTTTCTGGCGCAACGTTATGATGTCGACTAGCTCTAATATTGTGTTGAAGCAACACCAATATGAATTATTACTGGGTTTCATGTAAGACCGATAATAGGCAATCATCGTCTTCTTTAGTTGTATCTACATTGTTTTTCACTTTTATATTAACAAATTCGCCTCGTTAATTAGGGGCACGAAATTAACGAGTTTGTGTCAACACATGGCTGAATCGTTTATTTCAGACCTTAGCCACGAACAAGTTGTTGTATAAGAAGAACACGTGGTGTGACATGTCATTCGACAAGCCCATTGAACTGAAGAAAGGTGACGATTTCGGCGAGTTTAACATGGGTTCGACGGTTGTGACAATTTTTGAAGCTCCGAAAAATTTCGAATGGAGTCTTTACGAACGACAGAAAATCAAGTACGGCGAGCGCATAGCTGGCGTGAAGACACAACCTGTGGGCTAAGCGTAATCTATGTAGCCATATAGATTTGAATGGGTATTGTGCATGCTGATTGCACTGAGAAAGCTTGGGAAAAGACGTAATATTGAACTAAAAGCAGAAGCAGAACGAAAGCTGGCTGAGGTAATCAGCCACTCAGTTACTATCACATCAATGAGTGTACCACTAAGTACCTTGTAAAGTAACGGCTTTTAATAAAAAAAAATATTATTTTTTTATTAAAAATTATATAATTTTAGAGACGAAAATGGCAGCGGGGTAAGAAAGAACAGCTTGTGGTTGTTAATAAGTATAATATGAACAGTAGTTGTCTGCCTACAATGGGGGCGTGAAGGGGACACAATAAAATTGTCTCCTTCTCCATACTGTAAGGTCCGGCAGCGAGAGCCAGAAATGCGGCTACAATCATATTAGAATGTCAATCCCTAGTAGTATAATGATTATTTTGCCGGTGCCCAACAAAAAGCACATCCGGACTACCAACAGCGACTGCCAACAAAAACAGTTATTTTGTAAAAAAATAAAACACCGATAAGCAAATGGCGACCTAATTATATGTTACTAGCTCCCTAACCTATCGAATATAGAGCTCGACCGAAGTTAGGAAGCTCGACTTACATCTCAGAAATTCTCATGACATCTCAAAAGTTCTCATGTTTCTCTTTGGTTGCTACTGGCTACCACATGGCCTTTACCACGGTCAAAATCAGTTTCAAATGCAATAATTGAGAAGCTCGCTATGGATTTGCCGTTTATTTATGCCACAAAAAGAATAGCGTCTCGGTTCGTGTACAAGAATGGGTGAGCGTGTGCATGGGTCAAGAAGTGCATCCTCCCCAAAGCACAACTAAGTACGTGGGGCTGCTATTAGGCGACCCTATCGAGCGATAATAACAAAATGCAAATGTTTTATATTATGGAAGTGCAGGTAGAGTCCGTGATAGAAGTAGATAGTAATCGCGTAGCTTTATGATCATGGGAATACGGAAAAAAATACACAAGTGTTTTATATAAAAGTTCTATAAAAAATGAGCCAAGAAACAAGTGATTTCTAATAAACATGTCTGTTCCTCCCAGCTTACCATATTTGGAGGTGGTTGTAAGCTTACTTTATTATTTATACCTAAGATACACCTCATTAAGGTTGCAGACAATCTATAACGATGCAGGTTGACTATGCTTCATTTCTAGCAACACTACCTTTGGTTAGCATGTTACGTGTCGCGTAAATACTATTGATGGTACGGGAAACTTTCAATGTTAATAAAAATTCTCTCGTAACGGTTTCTTTTGAATAGAGAAGCACAAATACGTCTCTTGATTAGCAACGACCTCCATCGAAATGGTAGCGGTACAGAATTTTTACCAGCCGTTGTATATGGTAGACAATTTGTGGTATTGCAAAAATTACTAGAAGTCTGTAATATAAGAACCAATAGTATTTTGTATAGTTTTTCTTAGATTTCTGTAAGACGTGTAACTCTGAACATGATATAGGAAAATAAAACAATATAGTTTGTAAATAAACAAAGGTTCCACTAAGCATGTGTTATAAAACTGCATGATACATACTCAATTCGACACACTACTGGCCACAAGGATTCCTTGATTCAATAACGAGTGATACGTTTAGAGACGTGTAACCTAGGTACCCATAACTTAGAATTCCTATAGGTAGGTACGATTAATTGAAAGGTTTCAGATGGGTGCATTTTAATATGGTGCAACCGGTTCGCTCACAACGGAGAGCTCTTACCTTTGTGTGTGTTGAAACACATGTTGAATGAAATCAGTTGAAAATGCATTGACTTAAATAAGGCTGGCCATTGTCTAAAATAACCTCAGTCAAAGAAGACATCGTATGTAACACTATGGGCCAAGCCGCCGTACAACATTTTATTCTAGTTAACTTAATCAGTTCGATTTGGCTATGCATCGAATTGTCAAAAAATCTACAGCTGGAGCTCAAATAATTCGGATCAATGCGTTCTTTATCGTACCACCGGGTCGTACCAAATCGTGAAATTACGACCTCATATATGTTATAAAAAAAATATATATATACTATGTATATATATGTTTATATAAAAAACATTTTGTGTTCAAAAAATAATCGGCTACCTCATTTCGCTTGCAGATACAGGTAGTCAAGTCATTGCAACTCGAAAATACCTTTCCACGTGCATATGCTCGCTCACTGAAGATGTGTAGGTATATAATACACCGTACACTTGACACCATCGATCAATAAACGTTTCAAGCACACCTAGGTAGTCAGTTTCATGATTTACAGAATTAGAACACTTAAAAGTACCTTTTACCACTCACTACCACGTCGTCATTGACAGGGCTTGTTGTGCTGTATTTACCACGGCTGAAAAAAATTTCTAAACGCAATTGGAACGCGCGCAAGTACTCATATCTCCCCCCCCCGCCAACCCCACGTTCGACATCTAACATTTAATGTCAATTCCCATTTGAATATTAAGATAACAAGGCAGGGTCGCAGAATCTGCAAGCACTAAAAATGATTTTAGTCATGTCAACGGAAAGCAACAGCCGTAACCTACCGCAATTTAATGCTGCATAAAGATATCACCGAGGCAATCCTTCTGTTCGGTTTTCTCACTAATGAATCAGATCAAGTGCAGATAGATCGAAGTCACAGCGTTATACAGATTCTAAACATTGACAGTTACTTCTTATGCAATAAAAATGCTCTGCCGAAAGTTCGCTGGCAAGAACTCGGTTGATAGGACTATCATGTCCAGTTACCCCCGTCGCTGAATTGATAAAGCGATTTTGTTAAATTGAAAAATACATTGTCACGTTTGTTTCCGTTGTTGCTCATAAGGTTGTCAGTGTGCTCGTAAATGTGGCTGAATATCCTCGGGTGTTGTTATCTGTCCACACTCGGAGCATCGAACCCATGGTTCAGGTGATTTATCTCCCTTTTTGCTGCTCCCGCACGGTCCTCCGAAGCGTATTCGCAGCTGGTCATAAATTGGCACGAGCTGGTTCTGTTTATTAATGTTCGGCAGGAGACATACGAGATCCGGAAAGATCTTTAAATGTCCAAATGAACAACAAATCAGAGTGGCCATTAAGACAAGAAGCAATTTCACCTAACATGTTTTTACTCTGGTCAAAACGTAGTGATATTTACACAGTTATGAGTAACCATCGCTTACCTTTACAAACTCCGCTGGATCGGGGAATAATTCTAGACAATGTTGAACGAATTCCTCCGCAGTTATGACGTCACTTCGAAAATTACCTAGTAAGATTCGATATTCGAATACCTGCTCTGGATTGCCATCTAGCAGGAGTTTCAGCATACCTGTAGAAAGATGAAGCCAACAAAAGGTATCAATAATGCCAACGGCGTATACATATACTTGTTTCTAGTCTAGAATTAATATAGCAAACACCGCTCCGCGCTTTTTCGGATATGGCAGGAACAATGTTATATATAATACGACTTAGATAT